TATGGATCATCCCTGGGAATTTACATTTATCTACTAAATAAAAACTGAAAGAACTGGAGATGCTATAAATCAGGAACAAAAACAGAAGTTGCTGGAAAAGCTCAGCAGGTCTGGCAGAATCCGTGAAGAAAAAAATCAGAGTTAATGTTTACGTTTATCTAGCACTTTTCAAGACCACAAAATGTGTCAAATTGCTTTCTAGACACTTTCCGATGTGCTGCAAACTCCCACAAATGGACACATGCCAGTGATCATACATTCTGTGCTTGTAACGGTGACTGAGGGGCAAACATTGTGTCAGATCCCAGGAGATCTCCCCTGCTTTCAGGCTGGGGTGTCTTTCCCATCCAGTCAAGGCAGGAGGTGCAGGACTGTACTGGGAGAGGCTGTACTCACCCCTTCATTGCCACCACCTTGTCTCTCCATCCTGCAGTCGGGTTTGAACTGGACAAGGCCAACATTTTCCTGTAAGGAGTCACATTTTGCCCCTCAGCTCCTGCTGCAGGGTGCGGGTTACAGGTTAAATGGTTTGAGAGGCAGCTCCTCAGCGCCTTCCTAACAGTTAACTAGGGATGGGCAATAAATACTGGTCCAGCCAGCGACACACACATTCCCCGGGGGGAAGAGAAAGGTTTGCCTCCAGGGAAATCCAAGGGATTGTTGGATTGTGACCATAAGACTGTGAACATGTGGCCATTGGGGGCATTCCACAGTGTGATCATGTGACCAGGCAATGATGTGGGAGGTGGATGTATGATCATATGACTGTGTGATCACATAGCCAGGTGATCATGTGACTGTGTGATCATGTGACCGGACAATCATGTGGGCAGGCAATAATGCAACAGGCTGATCATGTGGTCAGTATGATCGTGCGGCCTGTGAAAGTGAGCATGTGACTGGAGGATTGTACCACTGTCCATTGGGAGATGTCACAGCAGCTGGAGGGAAAACAAGACAAACTCAAAGTTGTAATGACAGAGTGCGGGGAGTTTCCTCTCTGACCTGGCGTAGTTCACCAAAGTGAGCAGTGGGGTTTCCAGTAACTGAACAATAGCCAGAGGCCCCTCAATTTCCAACAGAGCAACCTGGAAAGAGAGAGAGGTTCACATATTAACACCAATAACAGCGATGGGAATGCCATTCAGCCCATCAAACCTGTTCTGCCATTTAGTCATGGCTGATCAAACATTTCCATACAACATTATCTCTATTCCAAGGAGAATCCCCTACATTTTTAAACTGTGTCCCCAGTACGAGACTCCCAACCAGAGGAAACATCTATACTGCCCCTACACTGTCTGTCTCCTGTATTATTGGGAAGGTTTCAATGAGATCACCTCTCATTCTTCAAAAGTCGAGAGAGTAGATGCCTACTTTGTCAAAACTCTCTTCTTCGGACAGTCCCACGGTCCCAGGGACAAGTCTGGTGAATTTTCATTGACTCCCTCTATAGTAATAACATTTTTTTCTGAGATAAGGAAACTGAAACTGTATTCCAGGTGCAGTACAAACAAGCACCAATATAATTGACGTAACACTTCACTACTCCTGACAGAAAGTCACACAATGGCATAAATCTAAAATAAGATAATGTGGATGCTGCAGATCAGAAATAAAAACTGAAAATGTTGGTGAAACTCAGCAGGTAAATCACACAAACAGACAGTCACACATTGACACCTCAGCCTCTGACAGTGCGGCACTCCCTCAGCACTGACCCTCCGACAGTACAACGCTCCCTCAGCACTG